GAAAGATTACATCTTGAAACAGACACACGTGACCTTTTCTTTATTACATCTTTATAGACATTTTGGTTTTTGTGTTTTGGCAATTTCGAATGGTCTACCTTGTTGATATTGATGCCAATAAAATCATTAAACTGTCTCATGGCCGTGCAGGTGTTTTGAGAAAGGAAACGCTTCTCTCTCCCCCACTCTCTCTCTCTCTCTCTCTCTCTCCCTCCCTCTCTCGTTCACTATCTCATTCTCTCCTTTCTCAAGTACTCACACTCACGTTTTGCCTTACCCTGTCTCTATCTCATTCTCTACCTTATTTTCTCTCTCGCATTCCATATCTTGCTCTCTCTCTTTCTCCCTCTCTCTCTTTCTCCCTCTCTCTCTCTTTCTCCCTCTCTCTCTCTTTCTCCCTCATTCATTATGACGAGTAGAATTGTGTTGTGGAAAATTTGATTTAACGTGTAATGAATTCGATCGCGTCTAAGTAAGACTGGCCTCCAAAATCATGACAGACATCACACACACACAGAGAGAGAGAGAGAGAGAGAGAAGTCATTCCTTATTAATCGTTATGCAGCATAGCCGCCTACAGTTGCCCCATCTGTGCAAGGCAATGTAAGACCCAAGCAGAACTAAAAAGTTGATCTCCATATTTGAGGATGGAACAAGCGACCACATCATTATTCCAAATAGAGACGTAGCCATCATATATATATATACAGTGTAACCCGGATATAAGAGACCCGGATATAAGAGAAACCCGGATATAAGAGAGATTTTCTCTGGTCCCAAATTAGAGCCTGTGTTAATGTATATAAATTAGACCAAACCCGGATATAAGAGAAACCCATATATAAGAGACTTCTTCTCCGGTCCCGACAACTCTCTTATATCCGGGTTACACTGTATATATATATATATATATATATATATATATATATTAATGCTTGTTTCATTAAATTATATACACAAGTTTTGTAAATTCCTTTCATATCATCTGATAAGCTTAATAACATTATCATTGTAAGACGAAAGAAAATCACCATATTGATACATATTTTTCAATCCAGTCGAAGTTTTCGGCTTACATAAGCCATTATCAAAGATGACAATTACATTACAATGAATTAATACACGGACATAGCAACAATGATAGTCTATTTTGTTTTAATGGAAGCGAAAATTGCACCGTGCTCATGACCTCACACATGACCACGCGAAAGTGAAAACGAGAAGAGGTCATATATATATATATATATATATATATATATTATCCCTGGAACATTATCCAACATTAAAGATGATCTTCACCCTCCCTTCTTTTACCTTCCAACTTTCGACCTTGTCTCTGGCCGAATCGGTTAAAGACACGTCAGGCTATATGACGGTTCGTATAGGATACAGGTTTTATATGAAAATTTCTCGGATATTCAGGCTGGTAAATGTTGTTAATACTGTCTATTATAAACAGAGCATTTACTTAAATATTTGTATCTATAAAAAAGAATGTATAATAATAATAATAATAATAATAATAATAATAATAATAATAATAATAAAACCTGTCTGCGTGCAATCTGTGGAGTTAAGCTTCAAGATAGGACATCTAACGTAGACCTATTTAACAGATGTAATATTGGTGGAATCAAGACTTTTATCATACAGTCTCAGTTAGGCTGGACTGCTCATATCTTGAAAATGTCTGATGACAGGATACCCAAGATCCTAATGTACAGCCAGTTAGATCAGGGCTACAGGAATGTAGGATGCCCATGGCTAAGATACAAAGACAAACTGAAAAGCAACTTGTCAGAAGTCAATATACCACATAACACCCTTGAGCGCTTATCTTTGGGGCGGTAGAATGGGGATCAACGTGTTTTAGTGGACTCAGCAATTTTCAATCTGCTTGTCTGAATCATCTTCAAGAAGCGAGAGCAAGATCTAAAAGGTCAACCGATCTAACAGTGATCTCATCTCACAATCCTCACATTTGCTCCATATGTGGCCTCCTTTGTAAATCACTAGCGGGTCTTAAGATTATCGCACAAAATTTCATAATTGAATCAATAAGCTGTCAAATCCTCATACGGCGAAATCGACGGAGCGGGGGGTGAGTCCATTATATATATATATATATATATATATACTCTTCACTGTTCAATGTATGTGATTAATATTCACAACTGGATTAGGTGCATTGACAATGAAGGATATACGTTGATAAAATAAAAATTTGAAGTGCGAAATAATTGTTTCAGTATTGGGCTAATGACGAATTAATAACCGCACACAAGCATTGAGATTACCATTTTTCTAATGGACAAACGAAAATTTGGGAAAGGATTTTAACAGCAAAACCGAAAAAGGATATGGCAAAAATGCGATGAGTATATTTAGAATAGAGAAGAACTATTTACACACACACACACACACACACACACACACACACACACACACACACACACACACACATATATATATATATATATATATATAAAGCATTCAGAACGCAGCGTTCTTCAATCCATTTGTAAAAAATTTAACTCTTAGATGACATAATTCGTCTCTGACAATAATGAATACTACAATATATAATTTATAATATTTATGTTGAGGGGTCCCTCCCATTTTTACATAAATGGATTCACCCAGTATATATATATACTACTGCTACGTGAAGACCCGAGAAACGAGAGCAACAGAGGGTGAAGGTAACAGACAGACAGAACGAACGTAGCCAGCAAGAGCCACAGTGAGCGAGCACATAGACTCAGTAAGAAGTCATACAGCGATACTTCAATACCAAAGACTGTATAGATATTTTGCTACTAACCCGTATTCCTGGAACTACTAACCTGCTTTACCAGTTTGTATTATTACGTTAATACATTATTTTCTTATATTAATTCCTGGCGTTTGTTATTTACTGGTACCGGATTTCATACCGGAATCCACAACAATTTAAAACCCTGATGATGACATGGATATGTCGAAAGTATAAATATGTACAAACACGATGATTTTCCCTCATCCTTCAGTAATGACATCAAAATCTTATCCGCGAGTATGAAAGAATCTTATAGAAAATAAGTAGACAGAACATGTCTAAACTATACAACAAAACATCTCTTTATACATATATATATATATATACATATATATATATATATTAATTGATTTAAAAATGTGGTTCCTTCGCTACACAGGAATTACCACGTTTCAAAAACAGAAACTAACATCTTCAAATTCAATTATTTAATTAAATTAAAAGCACTGGTTCTGTTTCATTTTCAAATAACTTATTTTGAATGATATTGAATTTTAAAACCACATACAACTTTTTTCCAATGTACTGTTCTTTCTTTTTATGAACACCGGATTATATATGTTAATGTTCTTTCTTTTTTTTAATATACATAATTCTTATATATATATATATATATATATATATTTTAGATAAACAAACAGTCACTGAGAGAACACGATTCGATTTACAAAAGAGTCTTGCATTATTAGCCGTAATAGTCACAGTTTACGAACCCACACTTCCTCCCAAGAGAACTCAACTGAAATAATTTTTTTTTCTGGGGAGCATATATATATATATATATATATATATATATATATATATATATATATATATATAAGGTATATTTAGGCACAAAATATTGATCCAAACATGTTTGATTAAAAAGAAGCGAAAAAGTCTCTTTGTTTAATATTTATTGTATTTTTTCCATTGTTTGAATAAGTTGTTGGGTATTTGGATAAAAAAGCATTCAGTTTTGGTGCAGCCTCTCTCCCCATCACCGTTAGATATGACGTGATCTTAGACTATTTCAAACTTTCAGCTTTACAAGGAACAATAGGATGCAGACAAAAGAATTCTGCCTGCCACACCGATACCAGGTTAGTTCTTGAAAATGATTCAGACCGTCTAAAATTCTTGAACTAAATAACACAAGAACGAAGTTTTTTTACACCATTTTTATCCCAGCACCTTATTTAAAAAATTTGGAAAAATAGCAAAAAATGAAACATGCAAACCTTGTCGTTATCAAAATTCATTATATATATATATATATATATATATATATATATATATATATATATATGAATTGCCCAAACACTAATATTCTGCGGTTAACCATGGAATATTTGTATTTGAGCCTTTTATATTATATTCTTACTCTGTCATGGACATTGAGTTATACCTGGATTATATCCTCTTAAAATTTACATATATATATATATATATATATATATATATATATATATATATATATATATATATACATATATATATATATATATATATATATATATATATATATATATATATATATATATATATATATATATATATATATATATATATATATATATATATATATATATATATATATATATATATATATATATATATGTATGTATGTATGTGTGTGTGTGTGTGTGTGTGTGTGTGTGTGTGTTGTGCATTTTGGCAGAAATACCTCTTTTATACATGTTTCATTAAAGACGACTAACAAGGTAATACGATTAAGTTTCTATTTAATTTCTCATGTGTTCGTTCAAGTGATTTCTTTTCTGGACACGAAGTGTTTAAAAACTCTCCAAAAGTTCTGCCACTTCCAAGCGCTTTCGGCTATTCTTTAGTCATTATCAAGGATGATTTTATTTTTATATTTTAACTAGACCTATGGGATGTGTTGTGTATTTATCTAGAGTTATACGGATATTTTATTTTTCCAAACATGGTCAGTACATTGTGGCCGTGTTCGTAGTCAGTATTTTCTTTCCGTCCATCCTTCTGCTCCCCTTCATCTATTCTACTCTTTCTTCATTTCCATTATTCCTTCCTTCCGCTTCTGTCCTTCCGCCTTCTTTCCCTCATTTTTTCCTTCTTTCTTTCCGCTCTACTTCTTCCCTTCATCTCTTCTTTCTTTCCTTCCTTTTGATTTCTTTCCCTCCACATACTTTCATTCCTTTTCCTTTCTTTTTTCTTCTTC